CTTTCATATAGTAAAATAAACTTAATTTTTTTTTATTAAGTCTTAAGGTTTGTAAAGCAATTGTTTTTCTCGTGTTCTTTTTTTTTCTTTTCATATGTTGCCTATCTATCATGCAAAGTAATATTAATTTTAAAAGTAAAAATACTTTTATGCATCAGAAAATTTTCAAATTTTACGTGTAAAATTTTCATAATGTTCAGATAGTTATCAAAAGTTTCTTTAGAAAAACTTTATATTTTATCTGTTATTTTCATTAATTAATCTCTGTACAGGTTCAGTGATTTGACCAATCTTGCAACCACCATTAAAAAATTAGGAAATAAAGATAAATTATGCCTCTCATTCTATAATGAACACAAAATATAACAGGAAAACATAAATGTTTAGACTAAATAGCTTAAATCTCAAAACATTTATATATATTTATTATTTTATTATAATGACCTTTCGGCTGTGCCTGGCTAACAATACAGAAGTTGTAATGACACGGCTCACATGCTTTCATGCTACCATATCAAATAACATAAAACTGACCTTTGGTCTGTACAAAGTAATTTGTCTTGGCTGTGTTTTAATACACTAGTATTTTGTAAAATACAGTCACATTTCAATTATTATACATTACATATGTATATAGATTATTGGCTGTTTAGAAATAAGTTCTTAAACTTATTTTTTTAAAACATAGAACAGTAAATAAAGAGGTAAAGCGAACAATTATGTCTTCTAGTTATGCCTTTTGTACTCAGTTGCTGCTTGATGTAGGTTGCTAAGCCTTTTAAAATTTTGCATGTGGAGGACATGCAACAAAATAATTTTTTTTATGTTTTATATATACAGTTGAATAACCAAAAAATCATAAATTACTATATAAATACCATAGAATTCCACTATAATTTATCAAGGTTAGTAACTAAGCTGTATTTCAGTCTAAAAAAAATGAAATTTTGAGCAGACTAAAGACAAAACCCACCTCATTGAAATCATGGTTCAAAAGAAAGAGATGGTGTCCAAGCACATTAAAATGGCTGAACAAGGGGGACATTCTGAGCTTCTGATTGGTTATTCATGTCATATATAGAAGTAAGAGTATATAAGGGAGGATTTTCCAAAATTGAAAGAGGTGGGCGAGGTGCCACTGTTTGTGATTTATTACAAGGTAAGAGGCTCTTATTTTATATTCTAACCTGTGAATATCGGTAGTTTGAGTTCCTAATTGGAACCAGTGCTGCATTCACCATACCACCTGACACACAGAAATCGATGTTTAACTGTGTTTTTTTAATATTTACTTTTAAATTAAGAAAAAAATTTGAAATAGACCTAAATTAACCTTTTCTTTCTAGTATGACTTCAAATTGTAACATGAAACTACATTCATTTGTCCTAAATAGCTTTAAGTTCATAACATTATACATCTATTTATAATTAAATTTTATTGTTTTATTGCCATTTTTATTGACGTTCGAACCGTGTCTAACTGCTATCCGTACCACTATAAGTTGTAAATCACTCGGGGAATGTGCAGCTCACGTTACACTATCGAATTACATTACCCACGAGCTGCATGCATGCTTCATGAACCATTTTAATTATATTATTATTATTATTACTTATTTTACTTATTCTTGTTGTAAATAACTTAAAAAGATCCGTACTTTTAATTCTAGTTACTTTTATAATAATAATAAATAAAGAATAAATATGTAAAAACAAGAAATAAAGTACTTACCCAATATTCTTTTTTCTTGCTCTCAATTGTCGAGGAGAGTTAAGCCTGATTTTTTTTTTAGTGATTATAGTAAAGCACTTTACAATTTTTATTTAATTAAATAATACACCAAAGAATATAGACTAATAACATGCCAAAAGTATACAATTTCACTTACTTCTAAAAATTTTCCTGGCTTTCTAATTA